GATAGATAGATAGATAGATAGATAGATAGATAGATAGATAGATAGATAGGATTACAGACAGTAACCAGGGGTTAAAGTGGTGCAGAACAATCTAGAACTGTGTTCCAGCACCTTTGCTGAATAAATAAATTAATTTGATCTGCATTTTCATACATAATAATGTCAAGTAGCTTTATTTATTCCTGTGCTGCTGTCTGGCGGCCCTTCCAGCTGCCATCGAGAGACAAGCTCAACGAATCAGAAAGTAACGTCAGCTCACAGCTCCGCCCCCAGGCTCGATACTTTTTCCATTCTCATCCCTTCTCTTCAGTGAGCTCATGTGCGCAGATAATCTTGTGATTGTGGCACTAATTAGCTACAGTTGGGGAGCAAGTGTGAAATGAGTTTCCTTTTTCTGAAGTGGCAGATTTCAGATGCAGCATTTGAGCAGAGCTCAGCAAATATCACCAAACACAGAAGCCGTTTTACGTGCAGCTTGGCCATCTGACTTGCTAGCTACTGGTTTGGTGGCTGACACTTTGGCTAGCACTTTGACTAGCTTATCTAGAGTGGCGTTAGGTTCTGCTCAGAAGCGGCACTGACTGTCGGGAGTTCCCTACAGGCTGCCCCTCCCCGGGTCTGCTTGTGCTCGCTGTCAGAGCGGGTGAGGGGTGCGACCGCTGGCGATCACTGTCAGAACTGCCCTATCTGTCTGTCTGTCTGTCTGCGCTCACTGTCAGCGCAGGTAGGGGGATGATTTTAGCTAGTTTGAGGCTACATCCACACTGCTATGTTCTCATTTACAAACGCAGACATTACTCTTTGTTTTTGCATTTCGTTCACATTTCGTACCCCGGAGATTTCAGCCCCCAGAAATGGAGACTTTTATAGACGCTCTCACACTCATATATTTCTGAAAGCTCCATTTCAGAGTTGCAGTGTGGATGAGTAAATGCGAAAAGTTTTGAAGACGCAGATTGTAAAAGCGCCCTAATTGGTTCCATCACCCATCACGTGGCCCTGATTTGATCCCACTAGTTACACCCTCTCATCGGTCACCCTACATGGTATTCCAACATGGCGGATATGGAGATGCTGCTTTTAGTGACATTCTCCCTGCTGCTGGCCTGCATGTAGTTAAATAGCGTGTTACACGGATGACTGTTGCATATTTGCGCAAAGTAACTATTTGGGTCAATTCAGGAGTCATTTTGAGGCGAGTCATTTTTTCATGGCTGCACCATTACATCAGATCTTAGAGTTCCCCCCACCTGCTAAATCTCACTTTAACCCCTGACAGTAACCATTACAAATATATAGCAATAGGCAGTACGAATGACCTTTTATAGCGACAGGCGATCGAATTTAAACAGTGAATCCCAGTTACCGGGGATAGGTGGCGTTCCAGCTTCCCGTCCAGTCGGCGGGCTGCGGGGCACGGAATCGGAGGCCGGCGATGGGAGCATGCGCGTACGGCACGCCGAGGAAATGCAGGACGCGCTTGCTTTCCGAGCTTAGGCGAGTCACTTGCGATCCGCCAAGGAGGTGTCCGTGACCAGGGATGAAAACAGACTCCAGAGACGGCTGCATGCCTAAGGGAAAGCATCGCCGCTCGTTAGCGGGAAGGCTAACTATGCCAGCTTCCCTAAATCTAATGAGAAAAATTAGTCTACACAGAACCACAGACTGTCATTTTACTTCAGGGCTGATTTTAGGTACCAACAACAATACAAAAAAGAAAAAAAAAACAGTAAAGAAAGTCTCCACACCCAGCCTGAGATAGAAATGGAGTGCCGGCTCTTTGACGACGAGACGGCAGCCGCGGGACCCCCCAGCTGGGGCACAGGCGTGGGTGTCGGGGTAGAGCACACAGCGCAGCGCGGATTCCCGCGTGTCCACGGCCACCAGAGAGCAGGCCTCGTCCATCAGGCAGGCTAAGGAGAAGAACATGGAAATCGGGACTGACACCAACAATGAAAACACAGCTCATGCTCATCTCCCCTGCATCTTCATGAACGTGAAGCCTCCTGCATTGAGCTGTATGGTGGCAATGAAGAGTCACGATGGCTCACGGCAAAATTACAGCTCACAACATTTCACGAGATTTCAAGGGAGATTTAAGGCGTTCACAATACTAGGATTACAGCACAAAAATGACTTCCTTTGCATATTTTCTCTTCATTTAAACCATGGCAGGGAGAAACTAAGATCAAAATGGTGGACTGGCCTGCAGAGGAGAAGGCGGAGGCTGCTGACCTGAGAGACACCAGTCCCTGGATGGCTCCCGCTCACCAGCGATGTCCTTGCTGAGATGAATGACGTCATACATGGAGACGGACGGGTCAACCAGCACTGAGCTCATGTCTAGAAGTCTCCATTCGCTGATATTCACTGCCAGGAGCAGAAGTAAAGAAACAGATATGAGCTCTGGAAAGTTCTGAAAACAAATATGGTGGATTCCAAAGAGCAGCAGCGTGAGTGTGTTTTTGTACCAGAATGGGTGCAGTTCTGCTTAACACCAGGTGCCAGGGGTATCACGTCTCTGGGCCCAGCTGGCGGCCTGAGCAACAGCCCAGTGACCAAGGAGCAAATGAGCCACATTTATTCCCACTTAAATGCTCTGTCTCGCTTAAAGGGAATGCCATGTCGCGCTTAAAGGGAATGCCGTGTCTCGCTTAAAGGGAATGCCGTGTCTCGCTTAAAGGGACTGCCGTGTCTCGCTTAAAGGGAATGCCGTGTCTCGCTTAAAGGGATTGCCATGTCTCGCTTACACCACCATCGGACCGTGTTCACATGACAGCAATCTGAGATACAGTAAGTGGGTAGCACAGATACACACCTTATAAAACTGATGCTTCTAAAATGTTCTGTGAACTGATTCTTTAGAATAATAAATTGCAATAGCAGCCATATAAATATACATTTTATGCATATAGATACATACGTGTGTATGTATGCAACACATACTGCCAATACACATATATGCACACCACACACATTACATTTATTATACATTTATATATAAATAAATATTTCCACGACCCTGGCCAGGATAGACGATTACAGGACAAATGGACAATATGTAATTCTTAACGTAGAATGGAAAACCTGAAGAGGCTGACTATTTCCAGCAATAGGTCAGAAGTTTTCAACCAAATATGAGCAGCTAATCTTAGCTGGTGGCTGGGCCTTTACCCATGGGGCACGATCGGGCATAGCCCGACTGCAGGGTTCCTCAGCCAAACTGATACTGGTCATACATGACAGATATAATAAAGGCAGATATCAGCAGCAGAAGTGAGTTTCCTCCGCAGGGTGGCTGGGCTCTGCCTTAGAGACAGGATGAGGAGCTCAGACGTTCAGGAGGGGCTCAATGTAGAGCCGCTGCTCCTCCGCATCGAAAGGAGCCAGTTGAGGTGGTTCGGGCATCTATCTAAGATGCCTCCTGGACGGCTCCCTGGGGAGGTGTTTCAAGCATGTCTAACTGGGAGGAGGCCCTGGGGCAGACCCAGGACACGCTGAGGAGATTATATGTCTCAGCTGGCCCAGAAAAACCTTGGTATTCTCCCGGAGGAGCTGGAGGAGGTGGCTGGTGAGAGGGAGGTCTGGGCATCTCTGCTTAGGCTGCTGCTCCTGAGACCCGGCAACAGATAAGTGGCGGAAAATGGATGGATGGATGTTTAATAAAGTTATTTTAATGTTTGTCCTTGGAACGTACCATTCCGTAAAGGTGCAGGGAGCTGGAAAGGGGGACAGAGCTGGGGACTTCTTGTCCACTGGTTAACTACAGAAACAGGGGAAAAACAGACATATTCAGAATAGAGGTAGAATACCCAGAATGGGGTCGCATGAACAGAGACGAGGCAGTCTGCCGTCACATTGGCATTAGGACCCCGCAAGCTCCACCCCACCGCAGCCGCAGAGAGGTGAGGGTCACCATGGACCCGCACGCACCTGGCTTCTCATACCAGCCGAAGGGGAAGACGCCGGTGTCCGCTTTGGAATCAGAGCAGTCCATGACACGCCAGCTGCTCCGCCCCCCTTCCCCGCATGTCTGCACCCCCAGGCTGTTCAGGGTCAGACACAGCGCGTCCACACCTGGGCGGGGGCAGCGGACCCGGCGTCAAGCACTAACATTTATTTATAAAGCAAACACTTTAATTCAAAGTGATGTGCGGAGACATGAGGGTTAGGGCCTTGCTGAAGGAGGGGCGCCGTGAAGGGGGGGTTAGGACGATTCCAAGGGCCCCTGAGAGACAGGGGTGCAAAAAAAAACTGGAACATAATTGGATTGGTCCAGGTTAGAGCCCAATATGACATGCCTTCATGGGGGTGGTGGAAGTGACCCCCCATTGGTTCGGTACTTTGTAGCTGTTTGGTATCCTCAGTTGTGCCCCCCCCCATTGTCACGGGGACAAACACACACCAGAAGACGCGGAGTCTCTGATGTATCCGATTCCTCTACAGCAGGGATCCCGATCACAGCGCTGCTCACACTCAGCAAACCTGCGGCCACACAGATCCAGTTAAAAAGCTGCAGTGCAAACAGAATATGAAATGCAGCACTGGAAAGGAGCGAAAGGACCCCCTGTCACCTCACCCCTCGGGTATGGGCTTGGAGGCCAAACTGGCACGGCTCCGCACAGAGTACGACACCATCTTTCTGAACGGCACACGGCTATAGAAGTTCTTCATGTTTCCAGTTGCAGCAACTGCAATCATACAAATAAACAAACTGTAAGTGGGCAGGATTACAGGGATTTTGAGTAAGTAGGCAGGATTTCACCTAATTTTTCCTGCCTTTTAACCAGAAAAGCATTTCCTCACTCAACGTGACTCCTCTCCTGAGTTGTGACTCTGACCCACATCACCTTGAATCAATTTCCTTCCTTGGGCTGAAATGTTCTGAGGAATCTCCAATGTCAGGCCGCCTGATTCGCTAACCTTCATCTTCATAACACACGAAATTATGTAATTCGTCAGTTACTGTAAGCAGCAAAGGGCAGCAGCCCAGGTGCTGTCTCACATTCCACCCAGGTGCTGTCTCACATTCCACCCAGGTGCTGTCTCACATTCCACCCAGGTGCTGTCTCACATTTCACCCAGGTGCTGTCTCACATTCCACCTCGGTATAGCGCCTTTACCAACAGTAAGCCGAGATGCCGGGAAAATAAAGTGAAACTGTGTTCCAGCAAGTTCCCCCCCCCGGTAATTTCAATAACATGTGTGTGATGTGTGAGTCACTACATTTTTATACAGTTACCTTCTTACTGGACAAATAAAACTCATCGGCCGCCGCAGAGCAGAAACACCATCCGCGTTTGATTATTTGAAATCACTAATAAGCGCTGTTAGGACACCAGTAGGATGTAGTATCACATGCAAGACCGAACGCAACAGGATCGCTCTCTGATTACACAGGGCTTTGACAGGGGTACAAAACCTCAGGCCCCACGATGAGAAATGGTTTGTCTGACCAGCTGATACTGTTACATACTGACAGGCCGCACTGCAAAGTTCTGTATAACGTGCTATGCTCCCAGGCATGAATCCATGCGAGTCAGATGGTTTGAATTATGAAATTATGCCTTTATGATGGTGATTTTCATGTTTAGTGATAAGCTGTACGATACTTTCTACTGAAAGGGGATTGTGTCATAATGCAGCCATGCTTCCAGTCCATGCAGCAGTCGCAAGGTTAAACATCTCATACAGTGTTTAACACTGTATCACACTGTCTTATTTTTTTGTGATTGACAATAATTATTCATTGTTTTCTATCTGTTTGTTTTTTTTAAATTATATTTCTTTTATGTATTATTTTACTACCTAATTCTTATTTTGTGTTATCTTTATTTATAAAATTTAATTTAAGTTAATTTTTAATAATCCTTTATTCCCTCAACTATAAAGCATTTTCGGTCAACTCCAGTTGTTTTTAAATGTGCTGTACAAATAAATTGATTTGACTTGAATCATTTATCTATCATATCATATTCAAATTCAGCTTACGATAGGTTTATCAGTAGAAAACACCACAGTAAGCCAAGGAACATCGCTGCACTATTCTGAAAACAGACAAAAATGGCATTGTCTTAAACCACCACGGCAGCTTCCAGGTGTGGGCAGTAGGGGGCGCTAGTGAGCACGTACCTTTCTTGCTGTAGGCCAGTTGGGGGGCCTGGGGCAGCACAAGGCTGCAGGCCCGTCGCAGCGGCTGGTCATAAGCGCCGCAGACTCGGGTGTCGGGGTACAGAGAGCAGGTGAAATAGAGCGGCCTGTCGTCCCGGACGTCGGCCAGGTGACAGAGCGCCACCTCCTCACACCCTGGAAAGCACACAGCAGCATCCATCCACCTGCCCTCCACATGTGCATACTGTATAAATGCGGGGGTGAGCCCGGGGTGGGCGGGGGAGGGATGGGGGGCGGCCTACTTTTGAGACACCAAATCTCTGCTTGGCGCGCTGAGTATTGGTGCTTGAAGATCCGATAGAGCAGCCGTGGGACATCCTGGCTAGAATCCACACGGACGGCTCCGCTGTCAACAGCGGAAAACACGTCCTCAACAGCATCTGTGGATGTGGTGTCACGGTCAGAAAGGAGCGTGAAATCCATCCATCCATCCATCCATCCATCCATGCTACAACAAGTAAAGGGTCAAAACAAACCACTGGAACAGAGGAACAAGCCATATGGGATTGGGGTCCATCAAAAGGCCCAAACACACACACACACACACACACGCACACGCACACACACACACACACACACATAGACACACTCACTCAAGTAAGGAGCTCATCATGATTAAAAGAAAAAAATGACCAATAATTGTTAAGGATCTCTCATGCATAGAATAAACCCATAAATGTTGAAATGCTTTTTTATTGATACTTTATAGATCCCTGCTAGGAAGTTGCCTTTCTTCCATGTCCCAACTTGCTCTCTATGAGACACACATGACAGACCCATACTGGTTTTCAAGGTTACCTGATACTGGGACCTGTGGGAGATGCGGAGGGGCGACACTGGGGCAGGCAGGAGGCGTCTTCGGACGGGTGGCCAGGTCCGACTCTGCAAATGGGGGGACGGGGGCATCAGCACGGCGTCACTGACACTCCATGAGGCCGCGGACTGAAAGCAGCAAGCAGCTCTGACCGCTGGGGAGGTTTCCTACCGTTCCAGAAATAAACGCGCTGGAAGACAGTGACTGACGCTTGGTAATCCGCTTTGCTTTCGCCAGTCGCTGGTAAGGCTGCATCAGCTAGACAAAGTTTGCGGAAAAAAAACACACAATTATCCAATCCAAGCATGTTAAGGAGCAGGGATCTGAGGCTGCAACTCCCTAATTAGGTTACTAATTAGAGGACTGATTGGCTAAAGAGTCCTCACACCTGGGTTTGAACAGCTGGCCTACAGGTTATCCCAAAAACCTGCATACACACCGGCCCTTTGCGGATAAGATTGGCCACCCCTGGGTTAGACAAACCCCAGTGCAGCTGGGGGTTAAGGGTCTTGCTTAACGGCCCTACAGTGATTTCAATGACACAGACAAAGTGATTTAAACCGACAAACTTCTGATCGCAGGCACAGCTTCTTAACCCGCTGTTAAATGACTCAACCACAGCATGACTCAGGAATGATAAATGCATCACAGGTGCAGACCACAGCATGACTCATCATAGGTGCAGACCATAGCATGACTCAGGTATGATAAATACATCATAGGTGAAGACCATAGCATGACTCAGGTATGATAAATGCATCACAGGTGCAGACCACAGCATGACTCATTATAGGTGCAGACCATAGCATGACTCAGGTATGATAAATACATCATAGGTGAAGACCACAGCATGACTCAAGCTCAGCATTTTGGTGACCTAATTCTGCTGCCATGACAACATGACCCTGCTGTCCTGACCACATGACCCTGCCGTCATAACCACGTCACCAGTGACCACCCCACTTACCAGGTACATCCGGCATGATCTATCTGTGTTTGTCATCAAGGTCTACCAGTGTTTTTAATCAAGGTCTATCAGGGTTTGTGATCATGCTTTACTCATGAGCTACTTCTGAAGGTCCGTATCTTTGCCCATTATAAAGCATCTCATTTCATGACAGCCTCCATGTATGGTTTGCAAAAGAGAAACAAAAAAGCTGCAACAATTCCTACACTTTTGCATGTGATACCAAATGACAGGGGGCTGAAAAACTGTGGAAGTGTTTTCCCACAAACATTACAATCTTAATAAATATATAATGGTTTGTGAGCATAATTCGTTCCGGAATCATGCTTGTAATCCAAAGACCTCGTATATCAAAGCAAATTTTCACATTAGAAATAATGGAAACTCAGATGATTCGTTCTACAACACAAAAATATTCATATAAAAATTATTAATACAAAATATGAAGTAAAAATACATAAAACAGATTAACCTGCACTTTACCTTTGAAAAGAATCTTGGATGGTGTGAGAGATGAGAGAGAGGAGAAGAGGAGGGTTATTTTGTAGGATGACTTTCACTATAAGTAACGGAATCACTGCTATCTGTTGGCTCACTGGAATCTTTTTCTTTTTGTGTAACTTTAACAAGGAACCTATACAATGACAGCTGCTTTCGCCTCCTTTTCGATTTCGCGGAAATGTGGACATTGCATTGTCGTTAAACAGATTCATCGCTCGCACTGCTACGGCCTTATTCGGGTGGTGCTTTTCTACTATATTTTGACTATATGAGTGAGGGACGCCGACTCAGACCGAGCATGGGAAACGATTACCCACAATCCTGCAGCACGAGAGAGGGAGAAGAACCATCGGCTCAGTTGTGAGTACGTGACGGTAGGCAGACAAAGTGTATATGTAATACTCGTATTGCAAGACCTCACTCGTTTATCAAGTTAAAATTTATTAAAAATTTGTGCTCGTCTTGCAAAACACTCGCAGACCAAGTTACTCGCAATCTAAGGTTTTACTGTAGAACAAAATTTAATTCTGCTAACTTCCAAATGCTCACATTGGCTAATTGAGGGTTAGAACGGGCCAGGATTACTCAGCCCAAAGCAGAGCCGCAGTCTGTACTTACTGACGGTGAAGTTTTGCCCTCCCAGACTGAAGGTGAACTCTTTACTGTACTTGACCTTTGACCCGCAAGGCTCCCTGCCATCCGCCGGCCCATCTGCGTCCCAGTCCGCGTCGCTGCACATGAACACGTCCGGGTGACTGAGCAGGCTGCACATGATGGTGCCTGGAACACATCAGAGACATGGGGGAACCTGCTCCAGATGACAGACCCAGGCAGAACCTGAGACAGAACCTGAGGCAGAACCTGAGGCAGAACCCAGGACTCCTCAGGGAGACCCAAACCCGCAGTGAACGATAAACCCATTAAAAAAACACAGTTGAAACCAAAACCTTGCAACAGCAAAATGGGGAATGTAAAATCTGTTATTAGGCCCAAAGAAAATCTCCACGTGTCACTGTGGTCATACAGAAATAAAGCAGAAATTTCTGGCCAAGCAGGCGTCTGGTTTCTGCAATGGCCTGGCTAATTCTGAGGCTTTAAGCATATCAGGCACCACAGAGGCCCTGTGGTCGAAGGCCCACCCCCATTGAAGACGTTGCGGTTGAGGATGAAGCCATCACAGCAGGCGTCTTTGCTACAGGCCTCCAGGCAGAAGCGATGGACGTCCGTCAGCGAGGCCCCCGCCGTCCGGAACACCGCTGTGCGGTAGGCACCCGAGCCCACCTGCCGGAAGGGCAGCCACTCCAACGTCTTTGTGGACCTGGTGGTGAACTCATGACCTTCATCAGAGACCAAGAGGACAGGCAGGAAAGTCAATGACTGGCTCCAGGGCATCTGTACACACAGGACAAACTTAATAAATGAAATACCAATTTTTATGCATATATATATATTTTTTTTCTTTTCTTAAATGTCACTTAAGTGGCTGGATATTAACAGGGAAACTATTTGGCCACAGACCACACCTGACACCAACTGAAAGTGGTCCCGGTGATCCGAATTACAGCTCACGCTGACTGAGCCTAATCTACCCAGAACTGTCATGGCTTCCACAGGCCTTGAAAGATCATTTAAAACTGGCAGATTCATCCCCATAATGAGCCTCACTGCAATACATAATTGGGTAACAAGGGCATATTTTAGCAATACACATTCATAAGAAACATTATAAAGCATTATAAACATGGCTATAAATATTTATCAAAAGGCATAACACATTATAGCCATGTGTATTATGCATTATAAATGCTCTATGAAGCTCTCATCTATAATGCACTATAGATACCTTTATAATGCATTATAATGGTTGGTGTAAGCATTAAGGATGCTCTGTACTGCATTATAAAGGTATCTATGGTGCATTATAGACAAGAGATTCATAAAACAGTCATAATGCATAATACAATATGGTTATAATGTGTTATGCCTTGTGATAAATATTTGTCATGTTTATAATGCTTTATGAATGCATTACGAATGTGTTTATAAATTACTTAATTATAAATTTACCTAAGTGTTACCCATATTTGTCCAGTATGCAAATTCGCGCCCCGCTCTGACTTAATGACATGAAGCTACCTTTCTTCCTCAGCACTACGAGGTTGTCCTTGTCACCCCCTTTCAGCCTCAATAAGCAGCGGAGGCTCTGGTGCACATCAGCGCCTGGATTTCCCATGAACCCATTTGCCTGCGGACATCAGACAAATGACACGCTCATGTTCATAAACGCATGGCAAAACGGAAATAACAAATACTGTCGTTTGTATCACATATCAATCCAAATTGGGCTCCATAACATTACAATAAATAGGTAAAGCATTCATGTGTTCATATTGAAGACGTAGCTGTAGGATACAGTAAAAGACTGGATAAGGCTTTTAATACCTGGACAGCAGCTTCACACAGGACATTAGCACTATCGGTGCTGTAGATGTCGCAATGGGTCTGATGATCCCCGTCGGTATAAAGCGCCAGGTGATGGCAGGCCTCGTCCTCAGAGCAGCCTAGGGGTTTGGACGGCCGCATACACAGACCTCAATGCTTAAACTTCTTAAGCTGAAATACTTAGTCAAGGGCGCAGCGCTGCATACCAGCCACACAGTCTCTGATGCCCTTCTGGAGGCCTTTGTCCGTCATCCTAGAGCTCAGAACGACGGCTTCTTCTGCCTCGAGGATCAGCTGAGATCTCGGCACCGTTTCAAATTTCTCCATCACTGAATTCAGGTAGGAAAAAAAAATAGTGGATTAAAAAAATATATATCTATTTCACAGATTCCACATCTAGAAACCATTATAAAGCGAAAGGTCATTTTATCTGAAGTTACATTAATATTGCCATGAAGCATGAGCTAAAATTAATTTTGACTTTAACATCAAGACTAAAATTACAACTAAAATGATCTACAGTATGTATTTATAACAGAATTTATCTATTTATCTTCCAACTTCAAAGTAAATAACTGAAATGTCCTCGATTGCTGCCACCAGGGTTGTGGGGGGGGGGGCATGGATGCTAGATTCAGGGGGCCTTTATAGAGCCCCCCCAAACCATCATCAGGGGCCCGCTGGGCAAATTGTATAAATGCAGGACCTGTAGTTCTTCAGAATGAAAGTAAAGGCCCTAGAGGGGACCCTAGGTGACATTTTGTCAGGGAGCCCAGAATTTCTAGCTATGCCCCTGGCTGCCACACACTGATCATGTGATCACAGGCCCCAGCGAATCTGTACCGCAGCACTCCTGATTACATGGCACTCCGATCATGTGATCACGGGCCCCGGCAGATCCCTACTTCGACACTCTTGCTCAGCTGGGGCGTCATCAGCAGCTGTCCAGAGCATTCGCCCGCCGCTGGGGGTGACACAGATCCAGCTGCCGGTCTGAGCATCCCGCTGGACTGGCTGAAATTGTCCCTTTATGGTGCAGCTCATGCCGCTCCTCTGACACTCAGTTACACCTGTGTGACAGACACAGCCACCATCGCCAAGGCTCGAGCGACACACAGGCATATGTGCACACGGCCAGCGGCAGAGTCTCTACACAGCTTACAGTGTGCTGCTCTAAACGCCCCCGCTGACACAGTTGACGTGCCCACAGGACACCTGCTGCAGAAATCTCGTCCTTCCTGGTCCTGGTAGGTACCCAGTGGACATGAGGAGCAGACTTGGCCAGCAAAGAACGTCCCCACTGGACACGGCACTGCCACAGGGGAAGCGTGATTAAGCATGTGGAGAACATGCAGCAATTCAGTGTTCAGATGACAGGAGAGCACTTTCATACAGGATGACCAGGGGGATCATAGACCATGTGTTTCTTGGACTACAATATCACAACAACGTTCCCAAAATGCAAGCGGGGAATACACACCGCATCCCGCAACTCCAGCCACGCGCAGGTACCCCGGCAAGCAGCTGAAGCTCACAGCTGGGGCCTGGAGCCCGACGGAGTCCGGCAAGAAGACGGAGCGGAAGGCGGCACTGCGGATCACATCCGGCACACCCTCTGCCAGCCTCCCACTGCTGAATGCCAGATCTGCAAGAGTTCAGAGAGTAAAGTAAGGTGCAGGGAAGAGATTGAAAAACTTTACTAGCCTTGTGCAACAGGTTGACTGGAATGCTTACTCTTTCAATCACAATCACAAGACTAAAGACAATGCAAAACATTACAAACAGTGCAGAACAATATAAGATGATGCAAAACAGTACAAGTACTGTAACTGCAAAACAATACAAGACAGTGGAAAATAGTACAGGACAAAACAGTGCAAAAACTAGAAAATATGCTGATGAAGTGACTGATAAAGTGACTTATAAAGTGCAGTAATGGTGCTATAAAGTGCAGTTGCCATCGATGTGACTGTCACGGGAAATATGGATGGGTACACCATGCACAACAGTCAAAAATGCACAAAGCGGATCTGAGGACAGGCAGGACCGGACCGCCGGTTGGGCGGGGGGTTCATTCCTCCTCACCCACGTCATGTAGATCAGGCAGAGCTTCCACGGGGATGTCAGACATGCGTGCCCAGCGCGTGATCTGGAGCTTGACGATCCCGCCGTCCAGGCACTCCAGAGACACGGAGGATGCATTACAGATGGACAGGGAGCTCCACACTCCAGAGGAGGGCATCTGTGACGTAGCACCAGGCGGGAACAAAATCCCCATAGTAAAGATCACCAAAACCCAACATTGGTGCACAGATCACCACCAGAATTTTATCCTTCCAGGGGAAAGACCCTGCTCTACCTGCAAGCTGCACAGGCCTTTGGCCCTTAGAGCCTGGAGTAGAGCAATCCGAAGTCCAGAGGACTGGGAACTGCAGGCCTCCTGCTTTGGAGACAGGGACAGTCGGAGGGAGATGTCAGCCTGGACCAGCTGCAAGCCCTGGGGCCCTGGGGGAGAGCAGGCCAGAGGGGGGTCAGTAATATGGAATGCTGGGAGAGAGAGGGGGGATGGTCTGTAATATGGAATGCTGGGAGAGAGAGGGGGGATGGTCTGTAATAAGGAATGCTGGGAGAGAGAGAGGGAGGTCAGTAATAAGGAATGCTGGGAGAGAGAGAGGGAGGTCAGTAATATGGAATGCTGGGAGAGAGAGGGGAGATGGACAGTAATAAGGAATGCTGGGAGAGAGAGGGGGGTGGTCTGTAATAAGGAATGCTGGGAGAGAGAGGGGGGATGGTCAGTAATAAGGAATGCTGGGAGAGAGAGGGGGGATGGTCAGTAA